CGAAAACAATATGACCCCCGCTTACGCTTCGCGTGTGGGGGTCATAATTATGACCAGGACTCATCATGAGAATAGTTGTTTTTGCACTGTGTACTTACCTACAACTCAGATTTTCAAAGATCTTATCGTGTGCAAAGAAAATCACAGAAAGTGTAAAGTTTTGAAAAACAAATACATTTTATTATGTTTCTRAAAGGAATAAGTTTCTCTTCATGTGTGCATCCTGATCAGGTACATGTAGCCTTCACAGCACACAACCAACATTAAGGTTCCTTGGTAGTGTTTTTTATTAATGAAAACCATATCCAGTGTGTGATGCCAAAAGGAAGACGGGCAGTGGAAACAGTAGATGAGCCTGAAGTCTGAGTGATGCATCACTTCAGAGCCTCGAGGAACAGCTTGGCTGGTTGTAGTGATCAAAACACTACAATCAGTGCCACATGCTGCAAAGTGTGAACGCCGTGCCGAGTGGGATTCCATCACATTTCCGTGACAAGACAGTCATGAAGCTATGTTTCTGTTGAGAAATATTGTGATATGGGGTTACTTAGTGTGAAAGTGCATGTGTGGAATAGAAAATTAGGACAAAACAAGTGAATACAAAGGGGGAAAAAGAGGGTTATTAAAACCATGTGTCTGGGGCGGTGCCATGCAGCCTTCGGTGCCTGGAAGAGATGGCAGAGTGTTTTTGTGAGTTTGCACATTGGTTTTCAATTAGTGAGAGAAGTGACAAGGAATTAGGGCAAGATGAGATGCACAGCGGTGAGGAAGGCCTGGTTGGCTTTGGTCATGAGGATGTGGAAATAAAGTTTTACACCCATGGCTGTTTTATGGCGCCATTTACAAGACAGCAGGTGCAAGCCTATTAAAAATCTCCCTTTACTTGTAAAATTGCTTCAGAATGWGTTGGGCAGGAGACTCCCAGGACGGTGAATCAGGCCAGTAGCAAGGAGGGCTGAGAAGCAAGGTGGACTGTGGAGGAGTGGAGTTGTTGAGGATTAGAGGTTAACACTCATGGAGCTGAATTACTCCCAGGCTTAGCGTTAGCTCTGCTGAAAGTTTGACTCTTTGTCTTCAGGAAAAAAAACAACAACATGCATCTGTACACACAAATCAGTGAGGCATGGAGACACTCCCTCTCACGCAAAGAGCTGTGATTGTGTCAGGCATCYTGCCAAAGGGAGAGGGGGGAGAGAGAAAAAGTTTAGATGAGGGGGAGTGGCTCACAGGTGCTGAGTCTTAAGCCTGGGGGAGGAGTGGAGAGAAGAGGATTCGGGGTGAAACGAGTGGGACACGTTAGGACAGAGGGGAGGAAAGTACTTGTTGGTTATTTTATGACTCTACAAGTGGCCTCGAACAAGACAAGGAGACACACGTCACATCAAGGCCAACAGCCACTAAAGAAGGCTATCCACATCCAAATGTGTCAACAGAACTCAAATATCTAAGCTGGGATATATCAGGACAATAAACCCTTACCATGATTCTTTTTTTTTCTTTATTTCTGTGTTTAAAAAGCAGCATTCAAAAATAACTTTGATGGAAATGGATCTGATCTTTTTTTTCCAAAAAAAAAAAAGGGAAAAAAAGAAAGGAGGAGGAGGGGAAACATGCTGGTAGATTGTATTTGCTCAGCAGAATTTAATATGTGCGAGCTAGTGGTGCTTTTCTTCTGGGGCCAATTCCCTGGAGACACATCCATCTCTGAGAGATGGTTGGGAGGACAAAGGAGGACAGCCCCCAAGACTCAACCCAGACGTGCTTAAATACACACATGCACACATGGAGCACGATGGTGTGTGCAGATATCAACAGTTAAAACACACACACACACACACACACACAGGCATGCACAGATTCACACGAGCACAGCACTCAGACAGAGTCCGCCTTGTCTCACAACAACTATAGGCTTGGAACAGAAGGAGGAGGAGGGAGTTGGGAAGAAAATAGAATAGAAAAGGGAGGGGTGTACGAAAGTGGATTGAAGGAGAACGCATTAACGGAGAGTGACGTGCTGGATGGTGAAAGTTGAAATCGAAAAGAGAGAGGCTGCTTTGAAAGGAAGAGAAAGAAGGAGAGGTTGTAGTAAGCAGTAATGCCCCATGACAGGCCTGTCAGGGTAAGGAAACAGCACGAGGACATATTTATGTAGTGAGTTGTGGCAGGTTTTCCAGGCAGCTCCGGCTAAAACTCTTCACCTACTTATATCAGTCATTTATGGCACGTGTCTTACAGCCAGCTAAAAATGTCACACATTCTGTTTGAGATCAAGAAAACTGAAATGTTTTTTTAAACCAAATCAAGATAACACAACCAAAAATGTTGCAATCCACTGTTCTTACAAACTTACAAATCAAAACCAACTGCAACCAATTACATGAATGAAGCTTAAGAAATTGAGTAATTGTGTTTTGGTTAGTTGGTACAACAAGACGCGTAATCGCTTCAGTGCAAAGCCCTCGGAGAATTAGTGCCCTGGAACAGCCTCTAGCCCCTTCTTAGTTCATTTCCTGATCCTGACCGAGGCAATGAAGGATAATGAGCTCTACGCTACACTTAGCACCCCTGATGATGTGGTCACGCAGCTTCTCTAATAAGGCAATCAGAGAAGAGACSGAGAGAAACAGCAAGACAGGCGAGCCGCCTCGCGTAAAGTCCGTCTGCTTGTGTGATTGATGGGACGGATACAGAGAGTTCCTCCGTGTTAAAAACGTGTTATCGAGACCGCAAGTTGTGATTCTGCCGTGGAGAGGTTGCTCATCTTCTTGTCTGAATTGACAGCTGGAGTGAAACRCTAACCCGGCGAGGTGTAGTGTGGCATAGAGCAACAGTTAGATAGAGAAGTGGCAGGCCCCACGAGGGTCGTTGGCAAGTCAGGAGGCTCTGGGAGCGAACGGATTGTTTTTCAGCCCTGCGGGGCTCTAAGGTTCTGCTGCGCAACCGTGATTGTTTTTAAAGAGAGAGGAGCAGAAGGCTGCACTGTCAGTCACCCAAACGTTGCATCCTGTAAACCTACCTGCTTTTGTTTCTTTAGTGCGATTACAACATTTTTCGGCTTAAAGGCACAGTGTAAAGGATTTGTTGTTTTCAGTGACATTTAGTGGTTGAGTGGTTGAATCATCCTCCCTGGTCCTCCCCC